GCATTTAAGTATTGTTTCGAGACTACCAGTAAATCAGTAATATGAGAGGTATTCACCCAATTTCGTTTAATGCGAAAAATAATGTATAGTTAGCTATTGTTTTAGCAGATATACATTTGCTTCATCGACAATTCCACCAAAAGAATATGATATGGAAAAAGGCTTGGAATTCCTTGAAAATTAACATTTGCTCTGTGGTCCAAAAAGGCGCTCGTGGCAATGTAGTCGAGTGGTTAGGGTGTCAAGCTCTCATCCTGCACTGTCGCGGTTCGATTCCTGCTGAGGGTGTTGATAAGACCGAACGAGGTCGAAACTGCAGTCCACTGGGGCCTGGATGAGAACAACTTTTGGGAAAGCAAGGCTATGTGAAATCCAATAGAAACGTCAGCTCAACTCATATCATTGTGGAAAAATTCTTCTTCTACCAGTCCTTCATCACCTTAAACGAAATTTGGTGAATACATCTCATATTATTTGTCATACTCTTAAACGCGAAATGAATACCGTTTAAACACTGATTCATGAAAAGCACCATCGAAGACCGATTTTCTAGTCTCTCTCCAATTTATCCAAGGTCCACTATGCGAAAGACAGCAGCCCATAATAAGTTATGGTAGTGTTTAAGAATTATTAGTACTGACAAGACGATGCAACTCAATTTCTCACGATACTTAGTCCATTTATCTTGATTTTTACAGCAAAAACATTAAAAGGCATCAACAAGTCAGCAACCTGATTTTTCTTTAGACTAAGCCCATCTTGTAAATACAAACTGAAAGCACATTTTATATACAAAGAAAAACTGGGTTTCGATTAATCTCCTGGGATAAGATTGTTGAGGGGACTTTCAATTTGTATGAAAGTACACGAAGAAGAGATTTGGAGGTGAATTTTTCGTAAATGATATCGTCTTGCTCTGACATTGTCTAATATATGACGGACTGAAGCTCAGCATTGATTTTTTAGGCTTGAGTGATGAGGAGTCGGGGTCTTCTTTGCACAATCAAGTAGTCACAATCCCAAGGCAATCCTCCTTCGATGCCCAGTGATACCAGTTTAAAAATCCCTCTCCATCGTGTTTTCAAACGCGAAAGATATGCCAAAATGGTCATAGAAAGACTTTACCGTGGATGGTCATTTGAGATTCATAATCACCAACAATTTGTAAACTGCTGACAAAGTACGAGATAAAGCAGAACTAGGAAGATCTTCAACGAAATTTAAAAGTAATAACTTCTGTTGGCTCGTATATGCGAGATTAATTGGCCCAAATGTCTTATTTGATATCTAAGCAAACATTACAAACATTCACGATACCATTGTTACAAGACAATGCGGCCAGAAAAAGGGGGTAGATTTTTCAGGTGATCATGTTGAAAGGTTGTGAAGCTGAGGCTGCAAGATTGTGACATTCAGTTAGCGAGAGCAATGAGGCCGAGGCATTCATGGCGGAGAGATTTGTAATACACAAGGCCAATAAGGGATCGGTATTCAACCGAATGTCCATTTCAGGAATGAAGTGACGAGAGCCAGTAGCTATGATGAATGGGAATGTTGTACAAAAATTGGAAGCACTCAAATAATTAATTAAGAAATTAAGAAAGTAAGTAAGCAAATATCTATCTATATATATATATATATATGCGTATATGTGTGTATGTACGTATGTATTTATGCATAAAAGTAAGTATATATATATTTATGTAAATAAGTAGGTAATTAGGTAAATAAGTAAGGATATAGTGAGCTTTTTTTCTGCCATACAACTCAATAGAATTTATCAGAGATATACCTCATTCTTACAACTTTAAGCTAACAATGAGTCAAGAATATTAACCAGTGTATCCTAACAAAAAAATCCTTTATAAGCTATGACATGTGGTGCTTATATGCGAAGAAAAATGAGATTTCGAGGAAACTCTTTTTCCTTAATTGTTAAGCTTACTTACATTTAGAATGAATGCGTTTGGTGAAGAGATTCGAAGGTCGGTTCTACCAGAAGACGACGGCGGATTCCTCTTGACCAACCGTCGATTGGCTTTACTGGAGCATTCACGCTGACGCTGTTTCCGAGGTAATCTCCTTCGATTCCGGTGAAAAGGTGCTAAGCTTTCGTCCGTCACAGGACGAACTTCATCAGAGCAAGGTATCATCGTCGCAGTACAATACAAGCGAACAAGTCAAGAACACATATAGGCACATACACATACAGATACATAAACACTCACATGCTCCGAGGTTGGTATATGATTGGAACTAACCAAATCACTTTATACCTCATCATAGAGATCAAATATAGAGTACACATACAGCTTTTTAGGGATATCCCTTGAATTTTCTTGACTCGTTAGTTTGAATTTGGTTGTGACGATAATGCCTTGCTCTGATGATGTTCGTCACATGACGGACGAAAGATTAGCACCTTCTCACCGGAATCGAAAGAGATTGCCTCGGAAACAGCGCCACCGTGAATGTTCCAGTAAAGCCAATCGATAATTGGTCAAGAAGAATGCGCTGGGAATGTTGAGCAGAGTCTACCATATTGTTACGCATTCATCCTTCCCTAGGTATTATCCCAGTCTCCCTCTTGTCCCGTAAGATCCGTTTACTATCTCCCTGCTTCAAGTACTTTATTCGATCTCTGCCACCCCATCTCTGCAACTCAAGGCGTTGTTACCCCGCCCCTGCGTCTGGGCGACTAATTCGAGGCTAAAGCCTCTGAGTAAGTCTCATGGTCACGCCTTTGCTACATGGACGATGTGTATCGGAAAAAATAGACACACTGTCAGCCAACTAGCTCCCGTCTCCACTGCGCCTATCCTGTATCTATCACTAATACCAATTCTATGACTTCCTGTTCCATAGTCTCTTTTGTGCCAACCCACAAATGTTGTATTTTAACATTGAACCCAACCAAAGCGAGCAGTACCACAACATTTGTGGGTTGGCACACAAGAGACTAGGGCATGGGAAGTCATAGACTTGGTATTAGGGATAAAGACAGGATAGACGCGGCAGAGACTGGAGCTAGTTGGCTGACAGTATGTATCTTTTTTACCATAGACGTCGTCCAGGTAGCAAAGGCGTGACCATGAGACTTAGAGGCTTTAGCCTCGAATTAGTCACCCAGGCGCAGGGAAGAGCAAATAACGCCTCGAGTAGCACGAATGTGGTTGGCAGGGTGGACTAAGGTAGTAAACCTATCTTCAATCCCTCTTGATTCTGAAACTACGGATCTCTTAAGGAGGGGGTTAAATTTTTCACCAGGTAATGAAGGAAATGTTCTTAGTGATATTATCCTGGTGGAAGTTGTCAACATAACGGATAAATATCCAGAAGAGACAAGGCGGGAGATGGAACTGGAAATAATCCCAAGGATCATGACACATCAAGAACCGATAAAATGGAGCAGATTGGCTAGTATTGGGAAAAAATTACAAATGAATGATCAAATAGTTCTTCAGGCGGATAGGGGAGGGGC